TAGTATGCTGTCTAGATTTGCCGTAGCTTTCCTCCCCAGGAGCAAGCGTCTTTTAATTCCTTGGCTGCAGTCCCCATCTGCAGTGATCTTGGAGCCCAGGAAAATGAAATCTGTCACTACCTCCATTTCTTCCCCATCTATTTGCCAGGAAGTGAGAGGACCGGATGCCATGATCTTAGTTTTCTTAATGTTGAGTTTCAAGCCAACTTTTGCACTCTCCTCCTTCACCCGCATCAAGAGTCTCTTTAGCTCCTCTTCACTTTCTGCCATTAGAGTGGTATCATCTACATATCTGAGGTTGTTGATATTTCTCCGGGCAATCTTAATTCCAACTGGTGATTCATCCAGCCACGCCATTCTCATGATCTGCTCTGCATATAAGTTAAATAGGCAGGGCGACAGTATACAGCCTTGCCTAACTCCTTTCTCAATTTTGAACCAATCAGTGGTTTCGTGTCCAGTTCTCACTGTTGCTTCTTGACCTGCATATAGGTTTCTCAAGAGACAAATAAGATGGTCTGGTACTCCCATTTCTTTAAGAACATGCCACAATTTGTTGTGATCCACACAATCAAAAGCTTTAGCATAGTTAATGAAGCAGAAGTAGATGTTTTTCTGGAACTCCCTAGCTTTCTCCATGATCCAGCGTATGTTGGCAATTTGATTTCTAGTTCCTCTGCCTCTTCGAAATCCTGCCTGTACTTCTGGTAGTTCTCGGTCCACATACTGCTGGAGCCTAGCTTGTAGGATTTTGAGCATAACTTTGCTAGCATGTGAAATGAGTGCAATGGTGCGGTGGTTTGAACATTCTTTGGCATTGCCCTTCTTTGGGATGGGAATGTAAACTGACCTTTTCCAATCCTGTGGCCATGGCTGAGTTTTCCAAGTTTGCTGGCATATTGAGTGTAGCACTTTTACTGCATCGTCTTTTAAGATTTTGAATAGCTCAGCCGGAATATTATCACTTCCACTAGCTTTGTTGTTGCTCAGACTTCCTAAGGCCCATTTGACTTCACATTCCAGGATGTCTGGCTTGATGTCAGTGACCATCCCATCATGGTTATCAGGGATTTTCATCTCTTTCTTGTATAGTTCTTCTGTGTAACCTTGCCACCTCTTCTTAATCTCTTATACCTCTGTTAGGTCCCTGCAATTTGGGTCCTTTATCATGCCCATCTTTGCATGAAACGTTCCCTTCATATCTCCAAGTTTCTTGAAGAGATCTCTGGTCCTCCCTATTCTGTTGTTTTCTTCTATTTCTTTGCACTGTTCATTTAAGAAGGCATTCTTATCTCTTCTAGCTATTCTCTGGAATTCTGCATTCAGCTGGGTGTATCTTTCTCTTTCTCCCTTGCCTTTTGCTTCCCTTCTTTCCTCAGCTATTTGTAAAGCTTCCTCAGATGGCCATTATGCTTTCTTGCATTTCTTTTTTTTTGGGGGGGGGGG